AACCACCAGCCTTCTGGTTAGCAGTCAAGTGCCTTAGGCACTATGCTACCAGAGCTCCTAGTAATACACTATAGTGGCCCACATAATGTGACATTTAGAAAGAGTCAGGCCATCTCTGCAAGTAATAACACAAGAAAAAAGTAAACTGATAATAATTTGTCATTAAGTATTTTGTTGAAGCATTCAGAGTAGGGAACAGAGTGGAGCAGCCTTGTTTCACTTGATTTGAAAGTCATCAACCTGTGTCTTGTTAAGTTCAGCCTCTACTCTATGGGTAACAGCACTGCATGGTCATTATAGGTCTTGTAATTAAATCAGCTGCCCCCATATCTGTAGTTTGAGTTTTACTAGCTTTTGGAAATTAAGTGTTTTCCTGTTTTGAATCAACAGGTTCCATTTTTTGGGCCTTTGTTTGATGGAGCTATCGTGAATGGGAAGCTGCTGCCAAGCCTTATCTGCGCCACATGCATCAATGCCAGCAGAGCCGTGAAAGGCCTCATCCCACTCTACCAGAGCTTGTATCTTTTTGCTTTAAACTTGGGACTTAGCCACATCAGAACCCAGATAACACAGTTTTTCATGAGACGTAAGTATTAAAAACTGGGTTAAAGAGGGATAAGAAAATGTTGAAAGTAACATAGTGTGGTATTCATACCAGTTATTAATTTATATTAAATACTATGATTTTGTGTGGCATTAAATTTAGGATGAGGATATTTTCATAATTAAGTCAAATAGGTTGGTGTCTGAGAAGCTGTAGCTATCACGAGATGCTCATACTTTCTTAGGTGTTCATACCCAAGTGCTATCCTCCTCCTTCATCTATCCCCTATCTGCTGTCCATTGTGTATAAGGGGGGATACTAACCAAAATGTAACAGTGTCATTCAGAGTACTTGCCAGAAACTGACAACAAATGAAATGAGTCTAATAAATCAAAGAATGTGGTAAGTTCCATGGAGAAGCACCTATCATGTTCTGGCTTGTCAGTTTGCATGTCAACTAGAACATTGCATCTCGTTGGGAGAGAAGGAAAGGATCTGGAATGAAGTTTTATTTGAATCCATTAGTAAAACTGGCTGTAAATTCTGTTGTGACCTTCCAAACCATTAATATTCCCTTCTCTATTTCCTGATCTTGTCTTTTAAAACAGGAAATTTCACTTTTGTATTTTTTTTCTCAAATATTAATTAGCATGCTGAAATTTTTAAACCTAGGCATTATCTCTTATAAGAAGAAAAAGAGATTAAAGTGTCTTTACCATAATTCCTGCAAAAAGTATCTAGCCTGTTAATAAGTTAGAATCTATTGGTTTATTATTGGTATTGATAATGCTTCTAGGCATATTATGTTTAACCTTTCTATCTATACTTCATCCAACCTAATAGTAAGTAGTGTTGCTGGAGGGTGGGGATGGAGTAGGTGAGAGAGATAACATGTGAATAGATACAGTCCATGAAAAATATCTCTCATTAAATCCTGGTCACTTCATTGACTGATATTCTGCCTTTAGATTTAAAATATATATACATACATATACACATACATATGCCATGTGGCAACTTGGAATTATCATAGAAATTAAAAGTAGAAAAGAGCTATTAGGTTCCATCTGGTCCTTCCCCTGGAGGGCAGGGTAGTATTATTCCCCTCTGCATATTCACTTGTCTTTGTCCAGGCTGGTGGTGAGTGTTTTGGAGATTGCATTCTTCAGTGATTTCCACAGGACTCTGGGCTTAATCTTGTGTTTAGTGTTGATTTGAACTTCAGCATGGGAGTTTTTATTTCACATGCTGTTAGAAAGAGCTTCTTTGCAGAAATGAGAAAGACATATTCAGCAATTTGCTTGTCAGTTTGCATGTCAACTAGGACTATCTGGATACTCATCAGTCAAGTGTGCTCGACTAAGGCAACAAAAAATCATTTGTAAATAAGAAAGTGCTGTTTTCTGTCAGTCTATTGTGATTTTTGTCACGTTATCTTCCGCACTTACTGAACTTGTCATTATAAAATACATTCTTTGTCATTTTGTTGAAGACTGCTTTCTCAAAGAAGAATTTATATGCTACCGTTTTGGGTAATCTAGTTTAGAGAAAACCATATTTTAAAAATTCAAAGGATAGTAATTAGTGTCACTTTAAAAACTTTTTAGATAATTATATGAGGACTAGCGTGGATGCCAGCTAAGGCTACTGATACTAATGAGGATTAGTAAATGCTGTACTCTAAAATAATTCGAAGTATGTTGTTGTTGTTGTTATGTGCTGTCGAGTCGGCCCCAACTCATAGCAACCCCTCCTTGGGTTTCCGAGGCAGTATCACTACAGAAGTAGGATTGTCCAACCTTCCTTCCAAGAAGTGGCTGGTGGGTTTGAACTGCCAGCCTTCTGGTTAGCAGTCAAGTGCCTTAGGCACTATGCTACCAGAGCTCCTAATTCGAAGTATAGCCAGGTTGATATCTAGCAGAACATTTAGTACAGAAATTAGGAAGGAGAAAATATATTTTTCATTATTAAAATTTTAAATATTTTTGTGTAATCTTAGACCTTGAGAAGATTTAACTGATACTATTTAAATAAGAGGGAGCTCTGGTAGCATAGTGCCTAAGGCACTTGACTGCTAAGCAGAAGGCTGGTGGTTCAAACCCACCAGCCACTCCTTGGAAGGAAGGTTGGGCAATCTACTTCCGTGGTGATACTGCCTGGGAAACCCAAGGAGGGGTGGCTATGAATAGGGTCTGACTCGATGGCACATGACAAGAACAACAACATTCAAATAAGAAGGAGCTCTGATGGCGTAGCACCTAAGGCATTTGGCTGTTAACCAGAAGGTTGGTGGTTCAAACTCACCAGTGGCTCTGTAGGAGGAAGAAAGGGGCAGTCTACTTCTATAAAAATTTACTACCTCAGAAACCCAACAGGGGTCGCTATGAGTCGTAATTGACTTGATGGCAGTGAGTATTCAAATAAGGCATTTAAAAAAAATAAACTACTACACATATTTTTATAGAGATAATTATCAATGAGAAAAATTTTACTATCACTTAACTATTTTATTCTTTGATCTGTCTGCAAAAGTGCTAATATTGAAACCAGAAACAAGGGGTATAACAAGAAGAGAAATGGAAGAAATGGAAAAAGTAAGAAAAAATGGGAGTTTTTCATATTTTTTCAGTTTTTTAAATATTAATTTTTAAAATTATACACTTATGTACTTTCCTAGGCTATTAGTGACTCATTGCTCCCTTAACATTTCATTAAAACATTTTGGTCCAAACATGCTTTGGCAAAACCCTAGACTAGTTTGAGTATGTTGCATTTAATATCTGGAATTCACTGCTTCATTGAGCTGCCTTAGATTTGAATTTTGAAAAATACTGAAAAAGCTAATAAATATCAGTTATAGGTGTCTGATTATATTTATTCATTTACCAAACAAGCAGTTACTATGGACTCACTGTTCACTATCTGCCATGTCCTGTGCTAAGAGCAAGTGATACAGCCAGGTTTAAGGACAATGAGGTTCATAAGAGGAACGAGACAAATAAACTAATCAACACAAAAAGTAACTGTGAGAACTTCTGTAAAGAAACTAAGTAGAAGATCAGCATGAAGAAGGATCAGGTCAGTGAAGGCCATCTGAGGAGAGAAAATTTAGGCTGAGATTGGAGGGATGAGAGAAAGGCCAACCTCAGAGTAGGAGTCTCATTCCAGGCAAAGGGCACATTCGCAAGCAGTAGGATTTACAGTGCTCTCAAGTAGTAAACTTGTATCTTTTAGGGATTATATGCATGTTCAAGTCCATCAGTGCGCACTTGACCCACCCATGAGCCAGCTTCCAACAGAGGCAGTTTTCTGGGTGGTACCCAAGGAACCAGACCTCCCAGACCCTTTCACCTCAAGGTACACATAGGAAGTTCCAATCCAAGTACAGTGTCCTGGGATAAACACTCAAGGCTGCCTGATGCCAGGGACAAAAGGTGAAGGAGATAGTATAGTGGTACTCCCAGTCCCCTGTAAGCCCCTAAAGAGGGGCTAAAAAGATCAGTACCTTCAACACACCTGGAAATAGAGTCAGTTGTGTAATTTGCAGGGCCCAGAGCAAGATGAAAATGCTAGGCCACTTCCTCAAAAAGCATGAAAAAATATCTTTAAGGGTACTAAAAATATGAAGCTGGTTCCATTTTTCTGCACTCTCTCAACATGCCATGATGTTTTTATTTGCTATTTAATGTCATTCTAAGTAAAGAAAAATTAAAATTTTAAATTATTGGCATGAATTGTATTTTCCTTTACATTATGCAATACTGGTTTAAAATGCATTTTAAATATTAATTGCACAATTCATATTTTGTATCTCATTCATGTATGTATGTTTTGCTCTTACCAGAATAATAGAAATACTGCACAAAACAAACTCTATTATTTTTATTTCACTCTCAATATGTGCATATTCTATCAACACTCCCTACCTTTATCTTATTGATGAGGAAGGAAGGACTGACAGGAAAAGGTTATCCTATTGCCTTTTCCTTCTGTCATCATTGTCAGAGGAAATGATTGACTAATACAGGGAAGTAATAAGTAAGAAAGGTTATGATAAGTTTCTTTGGTGGTATTTCTTAGAGGACTGTTGCTATCTTTATGCATTCAAAAAAAAAGTCCTGGATGGGATGGAGAAAGTGGCCATTGAGGGCCCTCAGGGCCCCCACTTACTGAGTTGTTGACATAACACACTAATCTGGTGCTCACTTTGAGTCTTCCTGAATTCCCATATGTTTGGTATACAGCCAAGTTCAGCTATTGTAAATGGTGATATAGGTAAGGAGCCTGCAGACCAGGCATTGCACTATCTCTGCTCACGTATGTACTTCATTGTCCCTTAATACCTCACATACAAAACACAAGATCAAAAATAAGATTACTAAGAATTTCAAGATGGCAGAAGCAGAACATTATAGAAAGTAAGGACCCCTTCTGAACACTAGGTGTTATAGAACCACTCAGATCACAGGCACTTGAAGCCCTGCCTGGAATCTATTTTGAAACCCCAGCAATAGGCATTTAGCAAAATTGTATTGGTATATGAACCAAGATAATTAAAGAATGAAAGCAGTATGTATCCATAGCGTTAGAAGATAGAGCTTATTTAAGTGATCAAAAATCTAAGAGAGGGAGCATCCAAGTTGGTGGACAAGACAGATACACTATCCAGACTGTCTACAACAAAGACTCAAGAAACCAAGTGAAACATATATGGGTGACAATCCTGGAACCCAGAGCTTCAAAGGAAAAAATAAAGAAGTACATTAAATACCAATGAGAGGAAGAGACATCAACAAAATAAACAAGCAGAATAAACTGGCAACTGGTACCCATTTTGAATTATTGCAAGCAGTATTCCAGATGGAGCAGTAACTAGATAACTGGCTCTGCTTACCCAGGACTGCACCAGCACCTACACTGGTGAACACCAACCAGAGAGCTGTGGCCTCCCCCTTACCTTATACAACCTCCCAG